GTACTTGTAACAAAATAAGTTTATCCTCCTTGAGTTGACCGTGAACACGCCCCACTCGATAGTATTGCCATTAGGTTGGGGAAAATAGCTTGTGAGCCTCTTTCCTACCATCTACATTGAACCACATCCTAACGCAGCCAGATGCTGTAATAATTCGCAGAAAAGATGAACACCCAAGTCGAAGGTCACGGCAGACACTACTCTCCTTACAATACCCTGCCGCCGCCGCTGCCGCCGCCGCCGCTAAGGCCCATCGAGCCACTGTTGCCTACAATGCCAGGACAGCGTTGGCAAGAGTTTTCGCATCCCCGTCGACCTTCGTTCCACCAACGCCTCCCTCGCGTGAAAGAGCTTAGAAGGTGTGCCCCAATCGAATGCGAGCATTGTCATGAGAGAAAGGTGAGCAACTTTTACAGTGTCAGCTTAGAATCCCCAACCGTATGCTGATCCTTCGCTCTTAAGATCCGTTGTAATGAGGCTCGGGGCTTGTGTGAGCCACGTCCGGCTCAAAAACGGGCACATGATCCTCAAATGCGCAAGTTGCCAGATAGATCCACAACACCGCGTGAAAAGCTTATGGGCACCTCACTGTGGCCGGCTATACCGACCTTAAAGAGATAGACTCCTCAACAATAATTCCTGTAATTACCACTTTTAAACTGAGCCTCAGATTCGCCAGCTGTGTGGAAATGGCCGGTCGGTTATGTGGAATCTATGAGGATGTGTTGGAAAATTAGGGGTAGGGCTTGGCCCTGTGATACTCTAGATAACTAGCATCTTCCTCAGAGGCAAACAAAGTATCAGCTTCTTGTGTAGTGTGGAAAGATGACATTTCATCAACACTGAAACCGCCTATCTTATAGCTATTCATAGCCCATAAGGACTACTACCCTTAATAAGGCAGTACTAAGACTGATAAGGGCCTAGATACTCTTTATTCTATCTTTCAAAATTTCACTATCTTTTCCTTTTCCTTCTTTTTTTCTTCTTTTCAGTTCGTTTTTCGTCCCTTTCCATGAAAAGCCATTAGGTACGGGAAATGAGTTAACATAGCTCCACCTTCTGATACAAGTAACCAGACAGGGCAAGTAGGGAGACCTTCAACGTGAAATGCACATAACGGGTTCTTTGT